GCTTTTACCACTGAATGATGCAGAAAGTCTCACATCCAAAAGAAACCGGATCAGATATGACACATTTGGCTTTATAGGGTTAAATGGATTTAAAGTTCCCTCCTCATCTTGTGCTCTCTTCTGAAAATATACGTTTATCTACTCAGGAAAATCACGCCTACTGTGACAGAGTGGTGCTTTTATTGGATGTATAACAGAGTTTATTCCTGACAGTCAGGCAAATCTCAGGAGGTGAGGATGCGATTCACTGGAGAGGGCTGATTTTCTCTTGGGTTTTAAAGGATTCATGAGCTCTCATTTCTCCGTTACTCCCTCTCAGTGACCCAGGCCAAACTAGCGTGTCCCTTATATCCCGTTAGCCTCCCCAGGGCGTAACGGGCCCATATGAGACACCCCCACTGTCAGGATGGTGGGTTTTGAGGGAGGACGATGATGGAAAAACAGGGTTTATTGGAACAAAAGGTAGAAGTCCAGACAAGAGATGCAACAAGAAGGACGAAAACGAACTGGCACACTTTGTCATACTGCTATATCCCGATCTAGTTCCCTTTATAATTTTGTATATCTGCACATAAACAGCCTCAAGCAATTTCTGTATGATATGAAGAGTTTGTGTGTTATTTTTCTTAATGTTAGTAGGTATCAAACTGTAAGGGCCTTAATCTCAACACTCACCGTTCACATCTGTGTTCGTTTGGCACAAAAGTGAAGTGATTTTATGTAGTTTTCTTATTTGATTTCATTTGAAAAGCATATGATATTGTCAGAGAGGTGGGTCTTGAGGGAGGACTCAGTTGCGGAGAAACAAGGTTTATTTTAACAAAAACACACTCAAAAGGAGTGGATGGTAGACATGGTACAAAACAAGGCTGTGAAAAAACTATGAACAAAGTAACAAAGCAAGATTACATGACTGAAAAAACATGGCTGTGAAAAAACATGGCTGTGACAAAAACATGGCTGTGACAAAAACAAGACTATGGCATGGAGCAAAAAGCAAAACCTTACGTGGCGAGGGGTGACGAAAACAGACAGACGAAAACGCACTGGCCCAGGACATGGGAAACGAGGACTATTTAAACACATGAGGGAGGGGAACCCCAGGTGAACACAATAGGTAATCAAGACATGACAACACACCAGACACTCCCCCACTTCTGTTTCCCACCAGAGTACAGCTCACTACACGTCACGGCCTTTTAATTTTTATTAACCAAATTCTTCCAACAAAAAAAAAGGCAGTCCGTGGCAACAGGTGTGTTTTGATTTTGACGCACTTGGCTTTATTTCTTTGTAAAATGATAAGGAAATAACAAACAAAATTCCATTATGACTTTGCTGCAAACAAAAAGTAACAAAGGTGATCCAAAAGGTAAAACAAAAGTATAGCGTGTAGCGTGTAGCGTGGTCAAAAAATCTTTGTGGCAAACCTCCCGACATTTTTTCTCCAAACCACAACCCCCTGGCTGTTTTAATTCTTCCAAATTAATGGGAGGAGCTTGGAAAATTACCAAATAAATCATAACAATTAAGTTCAAAATGGTTCTTTGCAAACAAAAACATATGTCAACTATTTAAAATTAAACAGAACATGTGAATGACAAAAAAGTTAACTTAACTCATTGACTGCCAGAGTTTTTTGAGCATTTTTCAAGAGCCACAGAATAGTTTGTGCTATGACTATGTAAACACCGAACACACCAAAAGAAAGAGTAGACTCTCTTCTTTCATCAGGAAAAAAATGTGTTTCTACCTTATTCCGTTCTTCCTGGACTTGCGTCTCACCGGCGACATGTTCTCTCATAGAACCGTTCCCTTTTTCTTATTTGCCTACAGTCTATGCTCATCTCCCATCAAAAGTGGCACTGCCCCCTAGAGGCTCAATTTGTTACTATATCCTCTGTCTAGAAGCCCATATTTACGGACAAGCTTTAGCAGATCGTCCCCCAGACACTCTCGCTGAAAAACATAAAAGACCTCTATAGACGTCTTTGGCAGCCAATGAGTTAAATGGCCACAGCACTACAGGTGCATGTTTCTAAATAAAGAAGCTGAGCAGCTGCTGGAGGCTGAGCATTTCCCCAAATCCGGCGGGGCCTCTGGGCTTCAAAGGGAAGGCATCTATCTGTTTAACTGTTTGTGCATCGGCCTCTCATGTTATTTATTTATTTGACAGGGACAGTACAGTTAAACATTGCAACCATACAGGTGGCCGATGTCCAAGTCCATAAGGCTTGTAGCCGTGGGCTAATTTGCAGCCTTCGTCCCTGGTTAGGCTTTTTAAAGGTGTTAGCATAAAGGGGGGGGGGAGGTTAGTAACGACACACAGATGCATAAGAAACAAGAGGAGTTAAAAAATAAAATAAAATAAAAAACATCAGTCTGTGATAAAGCTCCAGAAGCAAAGAGTTCCAGACCTGTGATGCATCTTTTAATCCTGCAGTTCCCACTAGCTCCAGCTCTTGTCCTGATTCCTTCATTTGCATACTTTAAAACTAATTTACAGATTACTTCAGGGGCAAGACCATTAAAGCATTTAAAAATAGCTTTTAAAAATGAGAAATTTAACACATTTTCAAATGTCATCATGTTGTATTTTTTGATAATTTCGCAGTGATGCCACTTCACCGGTTTTTGATTGAATATTTTTAGTGCTTGTTTGTGAAGTGAGAGTAAAGGTTTCAAAACAGACTTTGTGGCCTGGGCCCAAACGATGGAACAATAAGACATATGGGATAAAATCATTGCATGTAAATACACTTGTGCAGCTTGATTTGAAAATAGCTTTTAAAAATTAGAAATTTATTAAATTTTCAAATGTCATCATGTTGTATTTTTTGATAATTTTGCAGTGATGCCACTTCACTGGTTTTTGATTGAATATTTTTAGTGCTTGTTTGTGAAGTGAGAGTAAAGGTTTTAAAACAGACTTTGTGGCCTGGGCCCAGACGATGGAACAATAAGACATATGGGATAAAATCATTGCATGTAAATATACTTGTGCAGCTTGATTTGAAAATATATTTTAAAAATTAGAAATTGATAAAATGTTCAAATTTCATCATGTTGTATTTTTTTTATAATATTGCAGTGATGCCACTTCACCGGTTTTTGATCGAATATTTTTAGTGCTTGTTTGTGAAGAGAGAGTAAAGATTTTAAAACAGACTTTGTGGCCTGGGCCCAGACGATGGAACAATAAGACATATGGGATAAAATCATTGCATGTAAATATACTTGTGCAGCTTGATTTGATACACATTAAGTATATTCAATTTCAATTAGTATTCTGAGAATTGGTCACGGCTGACTCAGCAGTCTGTCACCTAATGAAACCGTCATCCCACCTCCAGCTCCCCGTCCAGATAACGGCCCGTAAAGGGACCAGGAGGAGTTCCTGCTGCACTTACGGGGAAAAAACCTCCACCTTACACTCACGATGTGAGAGGCCTTTAAACAGGAGTGAGAAACTAGACCGGTACAGGTGCCTCTGACCCGTCAGGACTGTGTTCCTGCTAAGTCACTTTTGGTCCCTCTGAAAGGAGCCTCAGTCTGAGTTCTGAGGCCATGCACGGGCAGTGGAAGACAGCCTTTTTTTTTCAAATTATTTTTATTCAAACAAATGATAAGATAATACCAAAAATACCAATGTTATCAGGTATATCTGAATGTGTACAACAGGGGTTTGAGCAAAGCTTTTACCACTGAATGATGCAGAAAGCCTCACATCCAAAAGAAACCCGATCAGATATGACACATTTGGCTTTATAGGGTTAAATGGATTTAAAGTTCCCTCATCCTTATCGTGTGCTCTTTTCTGAGAATATACGTTTATCTACTGAGGAAAATCACGCCTACTGTGACAGAGTGGTGCTTTTATTGGATGTATGAGAGTTTATTCCTGACAGTCAGGCAAATCTCAGGAGGTGAGGATGCGATTCACTGGAGAGAGATGATTTAAGGAATACAGTTCACTTTCTTTTTTTTTTGGATAAACATATACTTGTGCAGGTATAACTTCTAATATAGACATACAAGTATAAATGTTGAAGTAGTCACACCTACTACATGTACAAAAAACAAAAACAAAACAAAATAAGAACAATAAAAGAAGAGAACAATACGCCCCATTCCCACCCTGTCTCAGCCCAACATATTCAGCAGAAAAATGAGATAAATAATAATAATACTAATAACAAAATAAAAAAATAAAAAACATCAGCAAAGTACAGTAACAGGCACACATATTTAGTTGGGTAGGAGCTCCAAATCTGAAAAATAAGAAAGAAAACACCTTCATTTTTGGAAAAAATTGTCCATACATCCTCTCATTGTACATTTGATTTTCTCAAGTTTAAGGAAAAACACCATGTCATTAAGAAGGATATCCAGCAGACTTCCAGTGTAATGATAATGAACGTCTTGCAATTAAGGATGTAAAGGCTTTAATATCTTTTTGCATTGAATTTAATACTACTGAGGAATCAGAAATCCCAAATATAGCAGTCAGTGGACAAGGTTGCAAATTAACTTTGAGAATAGTAGACATAACTGTGAAGTAACCAGAACAAAAAGCAGCCAGGTCAGGGCAAAAAAAAAAACATATGACTGAGATGACACGGAGATTCCTGCCACTTGTCACATTTGTCTTCAATTTCTGGGTTGATTTTATTGAGTCTGGACTTAGAAAAATGGACTCTATGGAAGACAGCCTTTGATTCCCCAAAGATGCTCCTGCAAATCAAGCACAAAGTACAAATATATATATATATGTATTTATTCTATTTTTGTGAGGCAGAGCTTCTTCACCGATGAAGAGATGAGCATCTTGAAGAAGTTTAAACTCTACGTAGAAGACAACTGGAACAAGTGTGACGTGGTGGCCATCTTGCTCTTCGTAGCTGGAGTGTCTTGCAGGTAATTCCCTCTGAATTAATCAGATAACACAGAAAAATACAAGTAATTCAAGTAAAACTATGAAGTCTCAGAGATAGCGTGTGTTGTTTTTGCAGCTCAAGCTGAAAAATAAAAAAAGAACTGCACTATGTTAACCCTTTAAAGCCCGATCCAAGAATAAAACAAAACAGAAAATTATAATTTTTTGGTTTGAAGTCTTTATTTGGCCTTTAACAAAATATGTAAAAAGAAAAAACAGAAATACTTTTTTAATATTAATAATTTATTAATATGCGATAAGTCAAGATTATTTTTTGTGTAGTCTTCTGCCCCCTGTTATCAGGTGTATCTGATTGTGTACAATAGGATTTTGAGCAAAGTTTTTACCATTAAATTATGCAAAAGGAGTCAGACGCAAAACATTTCAGAAACCGTATGAATCAGATATGATACATTTGGCATTACAGGGTTAAAGCCTGATCCAAGAAAAATAGGAAGAATATTGGATTTTTTTAGTCTGAAGTCTTTCTTTGGCCCCTCAACAACACATGAAGAAAAAAAAAAGAAATTATTTTGATCAAATTAGCGTGCAATAAGTCAGAAATCTATGTTGGTGTGGTCTTCTACTGGCTGTTATCAGGTATATCTGAATGTGTACAACAGGGGTTTGAGCAAAGCTTTTACCACTGAATGATGCAGAAAGTCTCACATCCAAAAGAAACCGGATCAGATATGACACATTTGGCTTTATTGGGTTACTTACCATCATCTATCTTTTCCTACTATTTTCCAGGATGGCGACTGACACCTATGAGGCCGGACGAACGGTCCTGGCCATAGATTTCATGGTCTTCACTCTTCGATTGATCCACATCTTTGCCATTCACAAGCAGCTGGGTCCCAAGATCATCATTGTGGAAAGAATGGTGACCAAAACAGAACAATATCATCTCAGAATAACACCACACAGATGCTGCGTCGCAGTTAACCCTTTAAAGCCTGAACCAAGAAGAAAACAAAACAGAAAATTACTTTTTTTTGGTTTGAAGTCTTTATTTGGCCTTTTAACAAAATATGTAAAAAGAAAAAACAGATAAATTTTTTATATTAATAATTTATTACTATGCGATAAGTCCAGATTATTTTTGTGTAGTCTTCTGCCCCCTGTTATCAGGTGTATCTGATTGTGTACAATAGGATTTGGAGCAAAGTTTTTACCATTAAATTATACAAAAGGAGTCAGACGCAAAACATTTCAGAAACCGTATGAATCAAATATGACACATTTGGCATTATAGGGTTAATTATTCTTCTGGTTAATTCTAGTTGATTAATTCTAGTTGCTTTTCGGATAGTAACATGTTTTCATATTTCTGTTCTCAGTTCTTCTATCCATGATGAGGTTTTGATATATAGGTTTTAGATAATTAAATTAGTTGGAAGGGATATATACAGCACGTCCGGTCACAGCTGGCCATTTGGCATTTTAGGGTTAAGGAGATAAACATGTCTGTCTGTCTTCCAGATGAAGGACGTTTTCTTCTTCCTCTTCTTCCTGAGTGTGTGGCTCATTGCTTATGGGGTGGCCACTCAGGCCCTCCTCCATCCCAACGACCCCAGGATCGACTGGGTGTTCCGCAGGGCTCTGTACCGCCCCTATTTGCACATTTTTGGCCAGATCCCCTTGGAGGAAATAGATGGTAAACTACAGTAAATATATATATATATGTATATACAGTGGGGGAAATAAGTATTTGACCCCTTGCTGATTTTGCCGGTTTGCCCACTTACAAAGAATGCAACGATCTATAACTTTAATCATATGTACATTCTAACAGTGAGAGACAGAATCCCAAAGAAAATTCCAGAAAATCACATCATATGAATTTATAAAAATTGATAACCATCTGATGAGGAAAAATAAGCATTCTTTGTAAGTGGGCAAACCTGAAAAATCAGCAAGGGCTCAAATACTTATTTCCCCCACTGTATCTATCTATATTTATATATATATATATATGTATGTATGTATGGCTTATTGTCATAGTGGTGATAAATGTAATATTGTGTCTAATCTGTAAGTAACTTTGGATAAAAGCCTCTGCTAAATGCAGAAACAGAAACATAAATATGTTTTTCATAGCTTTTCTTACCAAATGGATTTTTAGAACTGTTTGGAAAGTGTTCCAAAGCTTAATAAATGTGTCAGATTGTTGTGTTTTTATCGTGCGTGCCATCAGGGACAGGCGTCAGATGACCTGAACTAATGTTTCTGTCTCTTATTTTCACTTTAATTGGGTCACAGCTGCTCGGTTCCCTGAGATTAACTGCACCAACGATTCTGAGGAGATCATCATGGGCCTGAGGCCGCCCTGTCCCAATGTCTACGCTAACTGGCTGGTCATTCTGTTGCTGGTCATCTTCCTCCTCGTCACCAACGTCCTGTTGCTCAACCTCCTCATCGCCATGTTTAGGTCAGTAGAGGGGGACACCTATTTTTATTT